GCCGAGGGCGTTTATATATATATATATATAGGTGTATATATGAATATATATATATATATATATATATATATATATATATATATATATATATATATATATATATATCGCAGTGCCACGCCCTGGCGGATTGGATTGGCTCCCCCGCTCCCCCTCCTTGTCCTCGCCTCCTCCCGTTCCTCCTTCCCTCAGGCCTGATGGCAACCAGGGCCGTGTTTCTATCACGCGCAGCTTCCCAATGAGAGCAGGCTCTGCTATTCGCCGGCAGCCGTGGGCACTTCCACTCGACGCGTGATTCATTTGAAACGGGCTCCACTTGCACGACTTCGTAACCCGAAGCGGCGCGTTTGACGTTGCTTGGTGCGCCTGACGCGTCTTTCAGTGCATCCTCCTTTTCCCCCTCCTCCTGTCTGCCACTCCACGTTAGGGTGTTCTCGCTGTTCCCAGTGGTTTCAGGCAGAGTCATGGGGCGGCGCAGTTCTGCATTTTGCGATTCGGCCCACTGTGGTCTGGGTTCTAGAGTCTTGGACTTGGTTTAATGCGTTTAACTCGCCCTCTCGACCTGGTTGTCTGTCCTTCGTCCTCTCGCGTCATGCTCTGGCTTGTCTGTCCGCCATTCGTCCCCTCAGCTTTCCTCCTTCTTCTCCCAAGCTTGCGCGGGAAACATCCATTTGGAATGGCAACCTAGCAAAATAGCGAAATTACAAACAGGAGCTGCAGCTTTGGAATATCAGAAAGGGCTTTTCCCCATGCCGCCGTCCCCCGGTCTCGGATAATGGGAAATGCAACAGCTAAATCATGAGGTCTGGGCGCCGCCGTGTAGCAGTGTCGGGACGTGTGTGTTTTTCTACCCTGACCCTACGGATCTGCGTGAGGGGTGCCGCCGAATGTCAGAAATGTGGCAAATCCCTTGTGTTTTTGGACTCTCTCCCTACGGATCTGCGTGACGGGTGCCGCCGAATATCAGAAATGTCGCAAATCCCCTGTGCTGTTGGACCCTGACCCTGACGTCTGCGGGAGGGGTGCCGCCGAAGTTTAAAGATGTGGCAAATCTTTTATGCTTTTGCATTCTGACCCCGCCGATCTGCATGAGGGGTGCCGCCGAATTTCAGAACTGTGGCAAATCCCCTGTGTTTTTGGACCCTGACCCCGCCGATCTGCTATATGTTTTTGGACCCTGACCCCGCCGATCTGCGTGAGGGGTGCCAGCGAATTTCAAAGATGTGGCAAATCCCATGTGTTTTTGTACCCTGACCCCGCCGATCTGCGTGAGGGGTGCCAGCGAAGTTTAAAGATGTGGCAAATCTTTTATGCTTTTGCATTCTGACCCCGCCGATCTGCGTGAGGGGTGCCGCCGAGTGTCAGAAATCTTGCGAATCCTATATGTTTTTGGACCCTGACCCCGCCGATCTGCATGAGGGGTGCAGCCGAATTTCAGAAGTGTAATCCCATGTGTTTTTGGACCCTGACCCCGCCGATCTGCGTGAGGGGTGCCACCGGATTTTAGAAATGTGGCAAATCCCATGTGTTTTTGGACCCTGACCCCGCCGACCTGCGTGAAGGGTGTTAATTTTTATTCACCCCAGCAATTCAGACAACACGCTCAGGGCGTGGTATAAATGCCCGTTTTGTGGCCCCACAAGGGAGCCGGCGGATTAGCGAGAATCTGGGGGTGACGCAGAGCTTGGCATCATGGACCGTGCTGAAGTTTACAAGCATGGCACGCACAGCAGCGATCAACGGACCTCCATTCCGAGTCTGACGTGGAACTCAAGGAAGCTAATGACAAGAAGCGCAGCAGAAACGGAACGGGCATTGAGAACGTGCTCAGGCATCTCGAGAAAAACGCGGGCCAACCCAAACCAGCTCAGGAGGGCGCGACGCTCGAGATCGACGGCAGCCAGCACCGCCCCCGCTGCGGCGAACGCGTGACAGATCGGCTCGTCATGTTCGACGCGGGCCTACGGCAGCGACGCGAAAATGGGGTGAACTTCTGGTCGCTCCACGACGTGGCCGGGCGGTTCTTGCTGCGCGAGGCCGGGCTCACTTCGGAGCGACGAGAACGCGCCATGGGAAGCCTGCCCGACTCGCCTCGGACCGACGAGAATGCGCCGTGGGAAACCTGCCCGACGAGGGCTACCGCTCCGCGCCATTTCACCAGCTTCTCGCGCGCGCGTCTCCAAATTTCCATGCGCAGGATCGATGCTGGCTTCCTACCTCGCGCGCGTGGGGAATTCGGTCGCGAACTCCCCCTGGCTGGCAGAGGTCTCCACAGGGGCTCGGATGCCGATCTACCAGCGTCGTCGATGAGCCCGAGGACGGCACTATTTACCATGACGAGGACGACGAGAACGGCGCGGAGGCTATTGCGCAGGACTTGGCGCGCCAAGAACTCGAGGCAATTCGGCGCCAAGCTCGAAGTTTCTGGCGCGGGCGTCTCCAAAATCTGACGGCGACGACGCAGCCGAGGTTTTGGCCGCCGCGGCCGAGCTCGCCGCGGCCCCCGTGGCCATGGCAAGCTCCGGGCCAGCCTGGGAAACCTTGCCGGGCCGCGGCAAGGGAGGCAAGAAGCGCTCGACCCAATCGATCCAGCCCCAGATTGATCGCCGTAAGAAGACCTCGACATGCCGGGGCAGCGGCGAGCCAGCGACTTCCCCGCTTTATAAGCTCGCAAGTACGCCACAAAATATCGGGGCAAGGGTGGCGGCCGCGGCCAATGCGGTCGTCGCGCCCAGGCGCTAACATTACTGAGCGAATCATGGAGCCCCTGACTCACGACGAAGGGCCGCCTCTACATCCAGAAGGAACGGTCCACGCTTCGCCAGAGGACCTTGGGTCCGAGCGCGCGGTGCCCGATCTCCCGTGCACCGACGTGGCGGCGAGGCGCCCGTCGACGAGTGCATCGGCGCGATTGGCGCCGCCTGCCTGTTATGCGTGACTTGGCCTGCTCCAGTGCCGGGATTACCCGCTTCGTCTGCCTGGAGGAGGAACGTCCTCGCCTGCTGGTCGCCGCCGTCGCCCTTGCCGCCCTTGCCGTTCCCGTTGCGCACCACTGGGGAGGAACTGCGAGATCCCCTCCCTAGCATGCCAGGCGGAAGGGGCTGCATGCTCTTCCCGTCGCCGCTGAGGGCATCGTAGAAGTCCTCGCCGCCGTTCTCCTGGTTGAACCGTGCTCTCTGAGGTGCGCACAAAGACTGCACATCTTCAGTCTCGCGACTGAGGTTTGGGATCCATTTACACCTGTGGCATATGTCGCATGTCGACCAAAGCCGAGCCATCCCGTGTGTTCGCCAGTGTTCTTTCATCCCTGGTTGTGTGAACGAGCACTGCCCCTCAAACGCATCGGGGAGGCCAACGGAATGCGGCCCTGAGGAGTCTCCCTCCCCTGAACCACAATTTCTTGAGGAACGAGGAGGGGGGGGAAGGAAGGGAGGGAGGGAAGGCGGACAGGGGGGAGTAGGAGGGAGAGTACGAGGAGGAGGAGGAGGAGGAGCAGGAGCAGGAGCAGGAGCAGGAGGAGCAGGGAGGAGGAGGAGGAGGAGGAGGAGGAGGAGGAGGTGCCTCTCGCATGCATGGGCAAGGGCGCGATGCGTACGAGCCCACCACGTGAGGTGCCCGTGTGTTTTCCTGCGAGTAGAGCGTGCGGTCTAAGGGCTCGTCCCTTCGCTGGGTGCGGAGAAGTTCCGTGGACCGCGCAGGAGTCCCTCCTCCTCCTCCTCCTCCTCCTCCCTCTCCTCCTCCTCGCGCCTCCCCCTCCTCCTCTTCCTCCTCCTCCTCCTCGAGCCTCCCCCTCCTCCTCCTCCTCCTCCTCCTGCTCCTCCTCCCTCTTCGCCTTCCGGAGTGGTGCCGCGCAGGAGTTCCTTCTCGTGGGCCGCGAGAGCGCTCTTCGCGAGGGGAGGTCACGGTCATCCGCAGAGGCGCGAAGACAATCGCGCCTCGCCCGTCTGGCCCCGGCCCATCGGCGCCCTTCCCAAAGAGGGGCGGCGCGCGGGCGCTGAGAGCACCGCGGCACAGTGCAGGGAACACCCCGCGGGTTGGAGGATCTTGGCGGCATGTGGGGGGTCGCGATGGTTCGACCGCATTTTCTCTATGAGGCTCGGTGAATCCATCTTGGGGCCGTCGGGTCGGGTATTGGGGCCGTCTTGGTTCCAGCTGGGGGCGGTGCTGTGCCATCTCGTGGGGTCATTGAGCCGTCGTGGGCAGTCATCTGGGAGGCTATAGGAGTTCTCTTGTGCCGTCTTGGATGTCTTGAAGCCGAACGGATTCGATTGTTCTGTTTGGTGATGTTGTCGGCCTTCCAGAGCGGTTCCGGAGAGCCCCTTCGACGCCTCCTCGGGGGTCACAGTAGTACCTTTTGAGCGTCGTTGGGCCGTATTTGACCAGTCTTATTTTGCAACCCTGTCGGAGCATTACTGAGCGGTCTTGCAGTTGTCTTTGCAGGCGGGGACCGCGGTGTGGCATGTAGGGGAGGGGGCACGCTCAAACGCTCCACGAGGGGGAGGGCGCCCCTGGAAAACTGAAGAAATTCTACCAGACAGCCGACAGGCATCCTAACACGCTAAATCTTGCCGATGGGGACGGTGTCGGATCGGAAAGTTGTCGAGTGTTACACCATTGCGCAAGTGTCATGGAGCTTTCACACCAGTTGCGCATTGACTTCCCAGTCCCTCGGGAGCGAGTCCCCTGACCGCCAATTTCGGGAGGCTGCTCTGAGAGACGACCCTGTTGGCCCAGGAGCTTGGTGAGGTGCCCAGTCTCGCCTTACTAGCATGACACCGTTCTGATGATCAGCTTTGAGGCCCCGAATGTGTGGGCCCGGCCCGTGTACAGTGGACGATGTGGGGGGACTTGGGCCGTCCGGAGGACGCCTCCAGCGGCTGAGGTGGTCCTCCACGTGTTTCCGGATGGTCCGCCACCAGGGATCCCAAGCCAGTCTGGCACCCGCTGCGGTGATCTTGCGGGAAAGCAGCGGGAGACTGGCGATCGTTTTGTGACATCCCGAGGAACGCAATTTCGAGCAATTACCCGGGCGAGACCTTCACTTTCAAGCAAGAGAAGGTGCAGCACAATGTCGTGCTCGACCAGGCCCGCAACGTCAGCATCGCGGTCTTGTGTCATCCTGGCGTGGGCCTCAACGGCGATTTGGATGCGCCATTCTGGAACCCCAGCGTGACGCATGAAATGCCGCAGGCACATAGTAATGGACCGGCTGGGCGGATACCGAAGAACACCCTACCCGACCATGGGGGCAACAATGGGGCACATTGGAAATATGAGCCCACATGGAAGATCATCGAGGACGCACCGAACTTCGGTCACATCACTTTCGGGCCACAGCCACCAGACCTGGTTGTGGTCGAGAGTTCGCTGTGGGATTTGGCAAGTTGGTGGCAGCTCACGGGCCATCAAGCCACGCCCGAGCGACTAGAACAATGGTGCAACAAGGATGTGCCATATTTGCTGAAGAAAGTGACGGATGCCTTTCCTAAGAGCCAGGTCGTCTTCCGGACCGCGCCGCAGGTTGCTCCAGAGAACAAGGGCGCCGAGAGGTGAGCCACCCAAGAAAGCAAGGGGCTCGTGTTTGTACCAGAGTGCTTCGTGTTTGCCGGCCGAACGAAGCGCGCCCCCCCCCCAACCCCCGTGTGAGGGGCCGCGTAAAGAACCGCGTAAGTTTCTGGCGCCAGCGACCGCGCAAACATCCTTCTGACTTAGTCTTAAGTCGGGACTGTCTCTCTACAGGGGGAATATTCAAGAATAGTAAAAAAATAGTCCGGGGACGATTTTTGGGATACTTTTGTGCATTTTTGGAGTATGTTTCGAGTAATCTTGATTTTTGTCTAAAAACCGCCTTTAGGGGGACATAACCGAGCCAAACTCAGTCTGAACAGGACGGGGGCGGCCTTGTGTCTTCGCTCTGAGAGGCCACCCTGCGTCTTCGGCGCCCCCCTGCCTTCCACGAAGGCCTCCACGAAGGGCCAGTGGATTCTAGGATTAGGTCGGGCCTGTCCCTCTAGAGGGGGAATATCCCAAAATAGTCAGAAAACAATATGGGGACGATTTTTTTGTATTCTTTAACCGTTGTGGGATATTTTGTTGTATTTTTTATTTTCCGTCCAAAATACCCCTGTAGGAGGACAGGTCCGACCTCATTCTAGGAGGCCCCCGTCTTTCTGAGAGACGGCCGACCCCTCGCCCCGCCTCCGTCGGTGCGCCGCCAGCATGGTGCGCAGATTCGTTTGGGCTTTGGCCCAGGTGGACTCACGCGAACTTCGAGACGATGCACGATTGCGTCATGCGGAGGTCGGCCGGCACGGGCAAGGTATTCGAACACGTCGGTGTGATCGATTACCACGGAATCATGGACAAACTCATATCGAGCACGTCCGACGAGAAGCTCCGCCGAGATCTCTGGCTCGAAGACGGCTATCACCCAAGCGACGTGCCCGGGCGCCTCTACTTGAACGAGATCTTCAAGCTCCTCGGAGCGGAGCCACTGCACGCTCCGCCGCAGGCCCGTGCTAAACTCCCCGTGGAGGACGAGTACGATCTCTAGTTTCAATATTTTAGGGCAAGCTGGCACACAGGAGCGATGCTGCACGCAGCCCTGCCCGTGATGAGAAAACGAGTGAGGGGGGATGATGAAGCGAGGGCGGAAGCAGGGTCAGGATGACGGAAGAGAAGCAAATGAGTCTCAGCAAGCGGAGGAGTAATGGAAGAGCAGGGTCGATGAGGACGAGAGAAGATGAGAGAGGTCTCTCCCCTCAAAGGTGTTAGCACTTCTTCGAAGCAGGTGCCGTCTCTGTCTTGTCGTTGCCCGTGTCGTTCCACAATCTGCGGTATCTGTTTTGGTGCTTTGGGTGGCGGGTTGGCAGCTGCGTTCTTAGTCACGAGTGGCCTCGGTGGAAAATTGCAGGTGGCAAACATTCGGACGCTCAATTAGGCATCGCGCATGGTGGCCTGGCAGTTATTTATATATCGGAGGTGAGGGGGTGAGATCGAAGTGGAACGGAGAGCCCCCCTACCGGGAAATCGGTTTCGGTTTCGTGTTCGTGCGTGCCGTGCGTGCGGGCGAGGCGAAGCTGCGTGGGCGGGCGAGAAATAAGTCTCCTGTAGCTGAGGCGCGGCTGGACCAAACTTCTCCCTTCCGGCAACCGGTGCCCCGCGGTGTCCCGCCGGTGTCCCGCTCGAAGGCCAGTGGCTCGCGGTGTCCCGCCGGTGTCCCGTCGGTGTCCGGATGATGATGATGATGATGATGATGATGATGATGATGATGATGATGATGATGATGATGGTGATGGTGATGGTGATAGTGATGGTGATGGTGATGGTGATGGTGATGATGATGGTGATGATGGTGATGGTGATAGTGATGATGATGATGATGATGATGATGATGTTGATGATGTTGATGATGTTGACGATGATGATGATGTTGATGATGATAATGACGATGATGATGATGATGATGATGGTGATGGTGGTGATGATGATGGTGTCCCGATGATGATGATGATGATGATGATGTTGACGATGTTGATGATGATGATGGTGATAGTGGTGATGATGATGGTGCCCCGATGATGATGATGATGTTGATGATGATGTTGCTGATGATGGTGATGATGATGGTGCTTCGATGATGATGATGATATTGATAATCTTAATGGTGTTGATGATGATCAGATGATTTGATGATGAGGAAGATGATGATGATAATGGTGCCCCGATGATGATGAGGAGGTTGATGATCATGCTGTTGATGATGATGGTGGTGATGATGATGGTGTCCCGATGATGATGATAATGATAATGATGACGATGATGGTGTCCCGATGATGATGATGATGTTGATGATGAGGAGGATGATGAGATGATGATGAAGATTTTGATGATGGTGGCCCAATCGTGGTGATGATGATGCTGATGGTGATGATGATGGTGTCCCGATGATGTTGGTGATGATGATGATGATGATGATGATGATGATGGTGACGGTGATGATGGTGTTCCGATGATGACGATGATGTTGATGATGATGATGTTGCTGATGATGATGATGATGGCGTCCCGATGATGATGATGATGTTGGTGATGTTTTTCATGATCGTGATGATGAGATGATGGTGATGATGATGGTGGTGGTGTTCCGATGATGATGATGGTGATGGAGTCCCGATGATGATGATGTTGATGATGATGATGATGGTGTCCCGATGACGATGATGGTGATGATGTTGATGGTGATGATGATGCTGATGATGATGGTGATGAGGTGATGATGATGATGATGTTGGTGTCCCGATGATGCTGATGATGATGTTGATAACGTTGATGACGATGCTGGTGATGATGATGATGATGATGATGACGTTGGTTGGGTTATCGATTGTGATATCGATATTGAGATCGATAGTTAGACAGAATGTGATATCGATTGTGATATCGACCGTGAGATCGATTGTGAGATCGATCGTCAGATCGATTGTGAGATCGATCGAATGAAATAGATCGAGTGAGATCGATTGTGAGATCGATCGAGTGTTATCGATCGAGACCGATCGTGAGATTGATCGTGAGATCGATAGTGAGACCGATCGAGTGAGACGTTGGTTCCTCCCCCCCCCGACCCTCCTTCTCACCCGAAGGGTGGTCGTATAGTTTTATATATATACACATAGATATATACATATATATACATATATATATATATATATCAAAGTGAGGGGCCGAACGGTCATTCATTGTCCTTGGGTGCGTAGCTGAAGAGGGGTTCCGCGGTGCGGATTGTTGTTGTGTTGCGTTGTTGTTGCCGTCGTCGTCCCTCTTGCGATCTGGCCTGTGACCCACCCGCGACCCGCCCGCGACCCACCCGCGACCCGCCCGCGACCCGTCCGCGACCCACCCGCGACCCGCCCGCGACCCACCCGCGACCCGTCCGCGACTCGCCCGCGACCCACCCGCGACCCACCCGCGACCACCCGCGACCCAGCCGCGACCCACCGGCGACCCACCCCCGACCCACCCCCGACCCACCCGCGACCCACCCCGCGCCCGCCTCTTCATTTTTTCTTATCCGCAACTGCGGGGGACTACGGTACAGGGTCGGGGGCCTTCTCCCGGCTGCCCCGATTTGCCATTGAGGCTTTCAGGCAGCCTCAGATATTTTCAAGACGGTCCAAGACAACTCGAGGAAGCGCTCCCCAGAGGGTCCCAAGACGCAAAATCAATTGTTTTGTCTTAGGTGTTCCAATGTTTTTGGGGTTCTCGACTTTCGAGCTTCCGACGCTCCACGACAAGAGGCTCCCAAAACCACCCCAAGACGGCCCAAGAGGCCCCCAAGAGGGTCCCAAGATGGGCCAAGGGGGCCCCAAGACGGCCCCTAAAGGAGCTCAACACGGTCCAAGAAACCCCAAGACGGCCCCATGAGGGTTCGCGTCGTTTTTTGCATCGTGATGGCGGTGATGAGGATGATGGGAAGCATAACGAAGATAATCATGCGGATGTGGTCGATGGTTATGATAATGACGACGCGCGGCTTTGACGTTGCCGCATCATCAACATCAGTGAACCAGTGACTTCAGCCATGATGATGATGATGATGATGATGATGATGATGATGATGATGATGATGATGATGCTGATGATGCTGATGATGACGACGACGATAATGATTGTGATAGTTAGGACGGCTATGACGAATCTATGATATAGGAATCTTCAGGACGTGATGCTTGCATTGTATTTGCCGTAATTTTACGGCTCAAGCTCTTGGGTCACACGTGATCGATGCACCATTTTGTCGTGCGAGCTGGCACCGAGCTCGTGCGAGGTATCTCCACCGCCCTCATCATCCGTGGCGGCTCCCAGCAGTGCCCTGCTTGCGAGCCTCATCTTGTGTGTTGTAGCAGCATGCCAGTTTTTCGATTGATAGGTTCAGCAGCGAGAGAGATGTCCGTGTCGTGTTGTGGCTCAAGCCAACAAAACCATTTTGGAGAGGAGGCTACCGCCACAGTAAGTAGCGGAGCAGGGTTCCCCGACGGGCGGCCGATGGGGGACAGGCGGCGGCGCTGATAGGCGCGGGTCCGTCCCTCTAGAGCTCCTGGCGCGGACCTCGTTTCATGTCCGACTGGCGTGGAATTCCACGGCATGGCAGGAGAAGAGGCAAAACAGGGCCCAGTGCTGCCGGTCAGGAAAAGCGCGAGTCTGAGCTCGCGCGAGTACAGACGGCAGCCGGCGTCATTGCGGAGCGGCTGCGCGACTGGATCGCCGGTGCAGTCAGGGAGACTCTTGGCACGAGCAGCAGAGCAGAGGCGTCCGCGGCGGGCGCGATCCCAGACCCTCGGCAGCAGGATTCTCAGGCCAAGGCGGTAGCCACCGAGCCTAATGGCTGGGACACATGGGAGGACTGGCCCTCCTTCTCCGGCTGGCGCTGGTCCGCAGGCGAGGGCTGGCAAAGCAGGGCGAGCAAGGGCGACGCCGAGCCGAGCGGCGACCTGGCCTGGGAAAGCTGGCGCGGAGGCTGGGGAGCCTCCGATGGGCAGCAGGGCTGGGCGTCCGGAGGCGGCGGAGGCGGCGCCAGAGGCGACTTTTCAGACCCACCGTCTTGGCCCGGCTGGGCCTACTACAGACAGTGGCAGCGAGCAGTCAAGAGATGGAACGCGAACACGGACGTGGCAGTCTGGCGCCGCGCCGAGAAGTTACTCAAGATATTCGAATTGAGCTTCCAGGCGAAGTTCGAGGATATCCCCGAGAGTGTCTTGGTCGGCTCGGGCTGGCTGACCGCGATCCTCCAGCGCATGGGCGTCATGGCTGGAGAACGCGAAGGAGATGATCTCCGTAGAGCAGGGCGCAAAGCGCTGTTTGAAACAGCTCGTGAGCAGACGGAGACCCGCGTGCAGTTCGTGATCCGGCGTGAGGCCCAGCTGACGGAAGCAGAAGGTCACGACATGCGGTTCTCGTCGAAGCTGAAGGGACCACTCCTCGAGGAAGGCGCCGGACTCGCGGCGCAGGGCCAACAGAACTTGAGAACGTCGACGCAAGGGAAGCTAGATTACGAGAGCGCGGCCCGGGCATTCCGACAGATGGATGCCTCGGGCTCGGGGCGCTCGCTGCCTGGCTGAGCGCCCTCCGGCCCCATGTTCGCCCGGCCGGCCGAAGAGCCAGGCGGCGGCGAGGGAGCCTCGGGCGCCAGTCTGCCTCCATCCTCCTCCTCATCCTCCCCCTCGGGTAGGTTCGACGGCGGCGAGGGTTCGGGGGGCGACTCCTCGGGCCAGGCCGACGACGCGGAGAGCAAGCGATGGACCAGGCAGCAATGCTAGAGGAGCTCGAGGACCTCGACCTCTACGAGGACCAGATCGACAACGCGCTGGAGATACAAGCAGCGCGGGCCGGAGCCCGTTCCTGGAGAGAAACAGGGAGCTCAAGCGCGCTGCCCAGAAGGACCGAGAGTACTTCGGCGGGCGCCAGAGCAGTGGCAAGCGGAAGACGAAGGACAAGGCCCCGTCGTCGTCGAGGCCGAATCGAGACGGAGGCCGCGGCGATCGCGCCGACCGA